AGGTAGGAGACAACAATGCTTTTGTTCTGGGGGTGCTCAGTGAGTCACTCACGAGGAAAGGGGTCATATGGCCTGGACTGTGGAGGCTGATGTTCTGCGGTGGAGAATACAAAATACTTTCACCATCAGACACCGGAACCGATGTGTCGGTCACGAATAACCCAAAGAGGATCAGACTGGTTCTGGACTGCGACGGAGGAGAGCTGTCGTATTACGATGCCCAAACAAACGGACACATATACACCTTCAAAGAGACATTTACTGACAGGATGTTTCCATACATCAGCACCTGGAGCAACGTCCCAATCAAGATAGCAGCACAGGCTGTTTCTGTAGCAGTGGATACTCCCCCTTAGAGGTGCTCCCTCACTTTAAAAAGTAGTTATCGTCTCATACAAAACAGAAACAAAAGATATAAATGGCCGATGCAAAACTGAAACAATAAGCTAATAACAGTAATGTTATTTGTGACATCTGTTATTACCTTTGTCAGTGAAGTACCATTGCTAATGTGGCTTTAAGGCTCTTAAAACTTCTTAGAACTTTTTTTTGTTATTTTGCTTAATTATTTCTATTTCATTGGGTTTAACTGACCAGACGAAGCTACATGTGACGTGTAAAACTTTACTGAGACTCAATTTTTTTTCTTTTTTTAAAAATACAAAAACATTGTTGTCTCTTCATTGATCTAATTGTAGTGTAGTCTATAAGCTGAAATAAGGAAGACATGTATATATGACCAGGAGGCATCCTGACTGGCATTGTGTGTCAGTGTAATTACCTTGAATCCTTCCTTATCAAGTTTTATACTGAGATTTCTGACAGATTGTACTTTCAAGACCTTTATAATAAAACCTGGGACATAAAACACTTCCTTTTTTAATTTTAATTTATTAGAATGATTTAAAATTATTAAAACTGGACATTTTTTATTTTTTGGGTGAAAAAATTTACTTTCTATTGTCTTTTTAGTGACAGGGTCGGGTTCATGATTAGATTGTTAATAAGAAGTGACTGTTGCATGTGCATGTTTTATAATAAATAACATATTTGTGGTTTAAGCACTTATAGTATGTTACAAATAAATTAAGTCTAACTAAACTCATATCATAGACTTGCTCATGCTTATTCAATTAAGATGTATCTATTATGTTTTTTATATAGATCTTAAGGGGGAAAAGTAAACTGAAAGCTATAAGAAGCTAATTTTCTGTTGTCATTAAGAACTTGTCCAAAAGTCATGGTAGAAATACAGTACATCAATTTATTTCTGTTTTACCAAATACATTTTGATGTATATTTTGTCGTTTATATAACTATTTCTTTTAAGTTGCACATGGGACCATTTTTCTTTATGTATCCAATAAAGTCTGAGAATGAGAGGGATGTTTTGTGGTATCTCAAATGTACCCGCTGCTTGATCTGATTAGACAATGAAATGCGTTTTCAAGTCAGTGTTTTTAGGGAAGATATTTCATCCAAATGTTGCCCGACAACTTGACTTAATGTCTTAGAATTCTCTCCAGGTGCAGTGGACCAATAGTTTAAAAAAAATCTGAGGTAGTGTCAATCTTTTTTAAACTTTTACTTGTACTTTTTCTCAAATTTATGATTCGTGCCTGGACTTTGTCTCAATTTTCAGCCTCAAATATATTTTTCTTCTCCACAAAAATTTGAGACTAGTGAGACATAATCATGCAGGAAATTCAGCACACTACTTAGTTCACCGTGGATACAATGGAGCACCCCTAGAGATCTGGGTGTCTGTCTTTGGGAGCACCCAACCCCTTTGGAGAAGTTTGTAGGGTTTTATTTTTTAGATCAGTCTGCAATATAAAAAATATTCAAACTGTGCATAGGAACGCAAAATAAATACTATTTTATATATTTTCTGTTTTAATTATCGTTTCAATTTGTTTAGGGTGGAACTTTTGTCGTACATTTGTTTGTTTTCTTTCACGTTTAATCGGACTTTGCACTGCGTGTCACGTGTCACCACAGCCGTCATAACCGGAAGTGCAAGTGGGAAGGTGAACGCAGCTACAACATGGCTCGTAGTTTGCTCTGCAGAGGTTTCGATGGGTTGCAACTCTGTAGGAAAACCTCGCTGGTCTCCGCTACTCGGTTCTGCTCTCAGTCAGAACCGGAGCCGCTGATCGTGAGACAACAAAACAATGGAATCAGGTGCTCACTTTTAAAGTGTCCGTCGCCTCACAGCTGTCAGTTACAGAGAGCCCTCGTAAGGAAATAGTATATTTATGAAAAAATAAAGATGATATCAACTTGTTCTAGGCGTAAGCACCGTGGTACATTTTTTAAACAGGTTCTTAAGACAAATTCGGCATTAATGTTTTCGGTGTGAAAGTAATACAATTCTATTTAAACGTGAACTTGTCAGCTGGAGAACCAGATGCTAAAAGCTTAGAGGACAAAATAAATAGTAACATCTTCTTTTAATAATATACAGTATCTTCACGATAGGAATGTTTTCTTGTACTATTCAGATTCTTTTCTTTAATTGAGAATAATTTAATCAAATATGTATTTAGTTGCCAATGAAGAAAAACTATTGGCTAAGATTATTAAAACGTTTGGGTATTTGAAAGGTAAATACAATCCAATAAGCGCAGGGCTAATATATTTGTGTAGTACTGTAACCTATAATTTTACCAGATCAGGAATTAATTTGGCCCTGCGATGGACTCTCACCTCTTGCCCATTGACCACTGGGTTTGGCTCCCCATTAGGGAATAAGCGGTTACGAAAATGGATGGATGGATGGAGTAAATAATTTGCCCACAGATGGTTGACAGACTAACATACTCCAACTAGTAATTACTTTTAACATTAAACTAAAATGTTAAATAAAATGCTGCATCAACCCTCACCCATGTAAAAGGCCTACTTTAAAAAAAAGGCGTTTAACTGATATTTGGTACGAGTATGACATGAACTATTCAGAGTAAAAGGCAAAAGTTGTACAAACAGTTGCTGTTTCTCATAAGAACCCAGCATTTTACGAGAGATCCCAAGAGAAATAGTCAAATCGATGGAAGATTATGTTAAATTTATTTTAAAAAAATGGTGGCAGCCAATTTTTTTAAGTAATTCTTGTTATCCAGGAGACTGATATTGAACAATCCCAAGAAGAGGAATGCTCTGTCGTTGTCCATGCTGGAGTCTCTCAGAGAGAACATCCTGACTGATGTGGACAGCGACGATCTCAGAGTTATCGTCATATCAGGTCAGATTGAGTAATGTTTGTCTTATGGATGGAGATAGACGTTCGTCCAAACTTTTGACGTGTGTGTGTGTTTTAGCCAAAGGTCCAGTGTTTTCATCCGGACACGACCTGAAGGAGCTGACGTCAGTTCAGGGCAGAGACCATCACACAAAGGTTTTTCACACCTGTTCAGAGGTAACATGCTTTCCATCTGAGTTTAGTTTCAATGTAATGCTTATGTGTGAGCTTCTTTTTTAAGATTCCTGCTCAGTAAAGAATCAGTTGAAATGGCAGTAAATTTGAGAGAGTAAAAAAAAAAAAGGATAAAACTGAGAAAAATGAACACACACAATACAGTTGTTTACATTTTAGAAGCAAATATAAGCAAACTTATTTGTGTGGTATTTTTCCAAACAATTCTACAAAGT